CGTACCACCTATTTACCATGAATACTTTACTGTACTAACTGTAAAGGAGAAATAAGTTTAAAATATAAATTAACATATTACACTTTATTTATATCTTGTTTTTTCAAATAACTGAAATTAACTCCTAATAAACTTGATTATTCGCGTATTTACATTTCTTCATTTTATTGACTATTTTTTACATTAAAAAATCCTTTTCAGTAAAACCCATGTCTATAAAAATATAGAATTTCCTGTTGTTTTTACTTCTTATAGTATCTTATTATTGAAAGTGTTATAAATTCATTTGGAACAAACTAATCGTTCATTTTTTTAACAATTTTAATAATTATTATTGTATAATAAAATTTAACAGGTTTGTAGTGTTAAAAACAAATTGTCCTTTCAAATAGATTAAAATGTAACTTTTAAATATAACGACTCATATAGTCTAACAATATTAATTCGAACGAGATTTTTACAAACATAAATTATCAATTGAAATTATAATTATCAATAAACTATTGTAAAAGGCTATTGGACATAAGTCTTTCTTCCCAATTTGCTTATTTATAAATATATTTGCATATAACATTCATATTATGAAGCTTTGATTCTACTCTTATTTTGTATTTATCTTTCCACTTGTATTGGACATTTTGTACTATTGAAAACTCATGTTTCTGGCTAAATGAGCTTAAGCTCACATATACGCCACCCCTTAACAACACCATGTATATGCATCTACATTTAAATAAATAAATTTTTGACTTTGACTTTTGACTTGGACATTTTTAGTACCCCCTCTGCGGAGAGTGGAAGTATGTAACTTAACTCGCATTTAGACCAGATCCTTAAACATATAATAAACATACCTAACTGAAACAGATAATAAATATCAGCACAACCAATAATAAAAAAAGTGCCAATAACGATAAAAGAAATAAATTGTTTTATAGCGTATAGTAAAGTGACCAATCGTCCTCTTTTAAGGACAGTCCTCCTTTTGTAGGTTCTGTCCTTCATTCTAAAAGTGTCTTCCTTTTCAATATTTTATCGATGATATTAAAATCGATGACAATTGTCTAGTTGAATAAATTAGAAGACTAAATGAATATTTAAATTCTGATAAATTAGAATGGGAAAATCAACATATTGAAATTGATAAAATATGGGTGGAAATACATTCCATATGAAAATTTAGTTATTCTTGTTGAATTTATGTTCTGCTGCCCTGGAACAGTTGAAAGATTTTTTTTCACTGGTATTGATTTTTGGACAAGTGAGAAATCACTGTGCTGCAAGTGCAAGTGCAATTTCCCTAAAATTCAATATGAACGATATTTCTTACTCCGAAATTTCCAATATATTGTTAGAAAATGATATATTGAAAAAAAAAATTCATTCAATGAAAAAATACTCGTTTAATTAAATAATTAAGTTTAAGTTAAGTTTAAATAACTTGAATTTATATATAAGAATTACAGTTGTATAGGGTATGGTATGGTATGGAGGCCGCTATGGTCTTTCGCCTCTTTCAGCCTTCAGACATTAGTTTTTTACAAAAAGAGATAAAAATGACTTAAGCAAACACAGAAATATATGTCGAATCGTCAGGATTACTCCCCGAGTGAGGCGTTTGGAGACGCCATTATTACAAATAACCACTAACAATAGTTAATAAACTTAGTAATCTAATCCTTCTACAATCTCAGAACTAGTGATCTACATCAGCGATAAGTCTCAGCTTTGTATCTCTGCCACGTGTGGACTACGAGGTTTGTTGGTCAAGTGCTGTTGTCTTAGATACTCCGACATATATGTCGGAGTATTTGTAATAACGGCATCCTGACGATTCGACATATATGATACAATAAATATAAAGGAAAATATATGAAAATGAATTGAGCTGACAATGAATACATAGAGAAACATATGATACAATGGTGCAAAAAAAAATATGAAAATAACAAATAATTAACAAGGATGTAAGCATAATTAGTGTATGTTTGTTTGAATTAAAAAAAATGTTTCACTTATTAAGTTATTATACTTTTTTCTTAATTTTTTTCGTCCTCCTTTGCATTGTATAAGGCGTATATTAAAATGCTTCTACCTTAAACGGGTTTGGAATTAAATAAACCTGTATTTATCCCCCGGAATTACGAACCCAAACCCGAACCCCGACTTACGAACTCCCGGAATTACGAACAAAATTCTAAAAACTCTAACTTGTTACACTAACTTGAGAGATATAGTGATAGAAACAAATTAACTGTCCAAACAAAAATTGGTAATTTCTTTAATAAAACTAATAGTTTTGGAACATGTACTATCTGTTTTGTTGCATTTTGTTGTTTTTTATTAACGGTGGCAATCGCAAGCCCGACAACCGAAATCCCGATGTTCGAAATCCCGGCTGGCTCAACATCTCGACGTTCGAAATCCCGACAATATCGAAATCCCGACAGTGTCTTTTATTATTATAAATTTCTACAATAACATTTTTATGGTAGTCGGGATATTGATTGTCGGGATTATGGTAGTCGGGATTTAAATATAGTCGGGATTTTGATTGTCGGGATTATGGTAGTCGGGATTTTGACATAATCGGAATTTCAAGCATCGGCATTTCGATACAATCGGGATTTCGAACGTCGGAATTTCAATAGAGACCGTCTATTCGGTTGTCGGGCTTGCGATATAGACCCTTTTATTAAATAATTGTGATGTCTACATTGAAAGTATTTGTAAGTATTTTGTTTATTTTAATCTCTTTTCTCAAATGTAGTCAGTAAGACGGAATTTAACATATATAAAAGTAAAAATCATGATAAAGTATGGTAAGATAAGTATATTTTGAAATAATTAAAATTCCCCCGACTTACGAACAAATTTGACTTACGAAGAACCCTTTGGAATGTAACTAGTTCGTAAATCAGGGGATACCTGTATATATAAACAAACATCTTGAGATTCGTACTTCTTCTGGTTTCAAATTAGCAATTTTTGTATTGAATTTAGAACATGTGTAATTAGCGCCATCTATCGTACAAATTCTCAAGACAATTAAACGTCAAACGGTCGCCAGATGATGTGACAAACTTCAATTCACTCCGTTTTGTGCTGTCAACGGAGGAAGTTTTTGGTATTTGTGTTGGGTGTCAGCTTTTAATACATCTATTCGTTCGTTGATTATAAACAATTAGGTGCGATTTGTTGGTGACGAAAGCATGGATAGGATTAGGGATATATTGAGCATGAGGCTCTCGTTTTTAGCAGTAATTTTAGTAAGTATATTTCCTAAAGAATTTCTGCCAGCCCCCCCATCAGTAAAGCCGACTAATTATGCCACGACGGTGACCACAATTGTATTTAAATCCGTGTGTTTCCTCTTTCAAAACGAAACGAATTCAATAAGAATCTTATCTAAATCCATTTATGGCATTTATTTTATCTTGTATGAAAATACTCAATTTTTATTTTGTTGCTTGCAGGTTTCCCATATTATTTATAATCCCACAAATAGTGGTGCTGTGTCGTTAACACAGCAAACAATAGATATGACTCTAGCCTCAAATGAACTAGTCTTTATTAATTTCTACGCCGACTGGTGTAGGTTCAGCAACATGTTGATGCCTATCTTTGATGAGGCTGCTGATAAGGTTACTGAAGACTTCCCAGATGCTGGAAGAGTAGTTATGGCCAAAGTGGATTGTGATAAGGAGAGTGCAATCGCTACTCGATTCCATATCACCAAGTATCCAACCCTTAAAGTAATCAGGAATGGGCAACCAGCCAAAAGAGAGTTCAGAGGGCAGAGATCTGTTGAGGCTTTCGCTAGTTTCGTTAAGAAGCAATTGGAGGATCCAATCAAGGAGTTCCATTCCATCAAAGAGCTTACTGAGCTGGAATCGGCTAAGCGAATAATCATTGGTTATTTTGATCGCAGAGATCAACAAGAGTACAATATGTTCAGAAGGGTGGCCGGGAATTTGAAAGATGATTGCCAGTTCCATGTCGGTTTTGGAGGTGCCTCGGAGCAGATGCATCCGCCCGGGCAGCCCGTCATCGTATTTAGGCCTGACAAGGATAGGTCCAATGCTGATGATGAGACTTATATGGGAAAAATGGATAATTTCGATGAAATGCACGTGTGGATTTCGAATAAATGCGTTCCTTTAGTTAGGGAAATCACATTTGAAAACGCCGAAGAACTCACCGAGGAAGGTCTGCCGTTTTTGATCCTCTTCCATAAACCCGATGATAACGAGAGCATCAAGAAGTACAATGATTTAGTTCAAAACGAATTACTTTCCGAGAAACGTGAGTTAGAGAAATTTAAAAAAATCTACAACATCCTTTAATTTTTTTTTATTGTTTTAGAAACTATTAATTTTTTGACTGCCGATGGAAAAAAATTCGCTCATCCGCTGCATCATTTGGGTAAAGGTGAAAGCGATCTTCCGTTGATCGCCATAGACAGCTTCAGACACATGTATCTGTTCCCAAATTTCAAAGACATGGATGATCCCGGAAAGTTGAAGCAGTTCATCCAAGATCTGTACTCCGGGAAGCTGCACAGGGAGTTCCACTACGGTCCCGACTCGGATGACGGCAATAACAACCACAAGGCTCCAACAAATCCTCCATCCAGTACCTTCAAAAAGCTAGCGCCATCCAGAAATCGTTACACCCTGTTGAAGGACGAGCTCTAAATTCTGTCTACAATTTACTTCATTCTATCTACTTATTTTATTTTCATTTCTTTTATAATTACTTCAGAGATAAAATACCTTTCGAATTTCGTTTCTTTGTACATGCTACATTCCTTCAACGTTTACAAAGCGATTTTCCCACGTCTGAATTATCACAACAACAACAACAATAAAAAAAACAATTAATAAAAACAAATCGTACTTAAAGATTATAAAGAAGTTTACGTTTTGCTTGTTGAAAAATACTTTTATTTGTGCTCTGTTTCGAACAGTTCTGTTTTCGTTTTACATAGTTTTTAAGCTTAGTGTTCTTCTTTTATTGTGAGAGAAAAAAATTGTATTATTTTCTTTTTTGTTTTTATTAATTTGTTTTAAAATAAATACTATGAAAAAGAAATATAATTTATAGCGTTGAAGTAAACTAAGAATAATAAAAAAAAATGATGTAGAGAGAATATTTTTAATAAAATTTGCATTTTTCTGGGTGAAATTTTTGCGAAATGTTCGGAGGTGAAAGTTTTGCAGAGATGTTAGAAAGCGATGAACTTATTGGCGTCACGGAAAAACCAATTAGTTTTTGATCGTTTGTCAACAGCTTTGTTCCACGAAATCCATACATTTGTAGACCTACATTTTTGTTGATTCCTCGCATAATTATCTTTCGAGTTGAAGATTGCAAATTTGTTTTTCACATTTATACAACAACAAGATACGAAAATATATAGACTGCTAAGAATTACTGTTCTATAAAGCAAAGTCCATAGTTTCATGTATACAGAAATACCTCGCATAGTGCGGGTAATCTGTTACGCCACCATTTGAAACCAGATTAATCGAGGTGCTTTAAATCGAGAAATTAACTACATCTAAAATATATACAAAATAATCGTATGTACTAATTTTTAGCTTTAGTGAATCTGGACTGATCGAAGCCGCACTATTGCCGAGGTATTACTTTAATCAGTTTATAAAGGAAATAAAGAATCGCCGTATCTTGAATTAACATTACGTGACAGTTTTTATATCAAAAGATGCGCAATAAAAGACTAATAAATTATATAAAAATTCTTATATTTAAATAAAACGTGAAGACTACATTTAAAAAATTGTCAGCTTATAAAAGCCTAACAGTACTCATCATAATTATGTGAGTATATTTATTGGAAAGTTCATAGTTTTATCATTAATTTACATGTTCAATGATCAAATTAGCATGCATGGTCTCCAGTAATTAAATAAAATGTGAAGACACTTCTTTTCAAACTCGTCTTTTTATGCTCGAGTTTAACAAGTTACAACTGAAGAACAGCGCAAACCACAAATATGGCACTGCACTCATTGGAAAGGTCATACTTTTAACTTTAATTTGAACATTGAAGTATCAAATAAAGTTTCCTTACTACAGAGTAACTAAATAAAAGGTGAAAATGCTAAAATAAATTGAAAAAATTTTCACATCTCCATCAAAATTTAACATTACGTAACAGTACTTATATCTATGGTGCACGTATACTTTGTATAATTGTGTCATGAATTATATGAAAACATACGTAATATGAAGCCAATTACAAATTATAAAAAAATCTTATAATTAAATAAAACTTCAAGATTGCATCTAAAAATTTGACAGTTTATAAGACACGAACAGTATACAACACAATTATGTGAGTTTATTTATCGAAAAGACCATAGTTTTATCTTTAATTTGCATGTTCAATGATCAAATTAGCATGCATAGTCATCGAGTAATTAAATTAAATGTGAAACTCTTTCAAACTCGTATTGTTATGCTCGAGTTTAACAACTTATAACAGAAGAACAACACAAACCACAAGACTGACAGTATACTCATTGGAAAGACCATACTTTTAACTTTAATTTGCACATTCAAGTTTCAAATCACGTTTCCTTACTACAGACTAATTTAATAAAATGTGAATATGTTAAAATAAATTGAAAAATGTTCACATCTCGGTCAAAATTTAACTTTAAGTAACAGTACTTATTATATATATGATGCACTTATACTTTGTATAATTGTGTCATGAATTATATCAAAACATGTGTAATATGATGCCTCTAGTGCAGTTGAAAAATAATAAATTTTGATAATTAAAAAATTAAAATTTATCTGTTCCAAAAAATATTAAGAAAACACTAATTTTGGTTGAGAATTAATATTAATTTTTAGATCAAATGCAAAATTGAAGGTCTACATGCATTTATTTATAGATTAATTAATGTAATTTATTTTACTAAAACGATAAACGAGAGAACGGTAAGGATCACAAATGTTCTAGAAGATTCATTGAAAAGGTCATGGTTTTCTCTTCAATTTGCATATTCGAATTAGTGTTTGTTGTTATCGAATAATTAAATAAAACGTGAAGACACTTCTACTTACAGCTTATTACAGGTATACCGATGAATTCATAAATTTGGTAGTAGGCTCATTAAACAAGGGCATTGTTGTCTATTTAATTATGAATATTCTATAATCTAATTAGTGTAAGTGCTTATGATTTAATTAAATGAAATTTTCATGATTTTTTTTTTGCCATTAATTATTATTTATATAATAAAAGTTACGTAATATTGAACTTGTTATGTAATCAATAAGTTTTACAGTTGATTTACAAGATAAATTAAAAAAAAAACTATAACAATTTTCTTCACTACAATGATTAATATTTCTTCTTCTCGTTTTACATTATTTTGTAATAATTTCCAATTCACAATATTTTTTTTTATACAATATTAAGTATTGTAAAGATTTTATTAAAAAAAATAGTATATTGGGTTGCGAAATTTGATTCGATTTGATTCGATTTTCTTTTTATTTTGCTTCCGCTTTGCAGAATGTTTTCTGCTTGTGGGGGAGGTAAAAGCAACATGCGCGAAAGCTTCGCGCTAATTCCATCCCCATGTGCTGCGAAATCTACGGCAGAAGTTCAACCCTCGCCGTCGAATCGGAGTCTCGTTTTTACCCCGTACAGAACATCATCATGAGATACTTCTTCGCTGCGATCCATGTCTTCCTTATCATCCTTAATACATGTAAGAATTTAATATTGTTTACTAATACTGTATTTATTTATATTAATAATTAGGAATGAAATATTTATGTTATAATTATAAATATTTTATACCTAAAAGCTTTAATATTTAATAATATTATTTATTACAAAAAACATACATAAAAATGAACGAAATATGATGCAAAAGATTCGTTCAAGTAAAACAAAACATTTTGTATATAAATATGATTGTTTTATCGTTATTAATTAATTATAATTAGGTTGTTTTTACTTGAGTAACAACTTTCAGATCAATCAATAATATTCATTAATATTAACTACAATTTTGTACACGTTCAAATTAATTCACATGTATGTTATATATTAAATGACAAAATAGAATTATAATTAAACAAATACAGTGGAACCTCTCATAATGAGCATTTCGCTTAACCAGCAAAATGAATTATAAGAAAAATGACTCGCTTAACGAGCGACATTTCGCATAACGAGTGACGAAGTGACGAAGTGAAAACATATGAATATGTTTCACTATACGAGTAAAAATCTGGAAATTTTGAAACGGATTAAACTCGTTAAGCCAGGATCCACTGTATTATTAATAATATCCTCAAAATGTATTTGTCCTTACGACTAAAACGGTTGAAATATTTCTGCTTCAACAACAAAAAAATTATATATTATATTAGATATTATAATTCTATTAAAAATTGAAAATATTTATAATCTCTTTTTAATTTGTTTATAATTATTTTCAAAACTATTGAAGTAAAATAATACTTAGATAATTAATTAATTCGTTTTGGATATTCATTTGAAAGGAGTACAAAACTAATTTAGTATAAATAATCTGATGTTTCTACTAATTTTCTTTAATTATAATTGTTTTAAATTGATATTTTTCTATTTTACTTCATGAATCATAATAATATTAATTTATACAATTATTTTCCGTTACAAATGTACAATATTTCCAAATGTCTATTAAATATGTATAAAAACTGGAACATAGTAAAAATCATCTTATCTTTAATTATATTATATTATGTTCTAATTAATTGAATTTATATTTAAAATGTTATATCGACGTCTCAATTATATAAACATGTATTTTTTACGAAATGTCTATCGACTAAAGTATTTCTGGGATAAAATGGTAGAAAATTGTATTGTTGTCAGTAACCTTTAACATTTATGAGCAATCCTATTACAAAAGGCTAAAAAGCTCCCGTTTTACATTCGAGAGAAAAGCCTTTCCAAATCAATACTGATTTATTTCAAAGCGATAGATTTCACGAGCTTTCCAATTACTACAACCTTTTTCAATACATCTAACCAGTATTTTGAAATTTTGCCACCTTAACAAAATGTTTATTGTTCTTTTTTTTTCGAAATAACGAATTTAGTCTTCACTGTTTAAATGTTACAGATAATTCATATAAATTTCAATTAAATATGAATAGTAGTAAAATACAACAATACTTCGTATAGTGCGATTTCTATCACCCCGGGTTTGCTATAGTCCGGTTTGAAAATTTCATAACAAACTAAATTTGAATTGAGCAAATTCTAAAATATAATTACATAAATTTATAGTTGTTCAGTTTTTAATCTGACTTTATTCAGTTCTTCGATTAGTCCGGTTTCAAACTGTGCGGAATATTGGCGACTACGAATATTTACTTATCTAAGCATACTTATTTACACTTAACTACAATTTTGTAGAAAATTTTCAATATTATAGCTCAAAATTATTTGAAAATAAATTAGGACATTAAAATCATAGAATTTTGAACAAATTGTGATTTTAAAATTTGTTTTTAGCAAATAATTAATAAATAAACTATGAAAATAACAATAAGTTTTAAACTTTCTCATAATAACAATCGCTGCTTTCTTTGTAAGGTGATACTGTCTAAAAATAAAGCTTAAAGAGCACGCGTTTTAAAATATTTAAGGTCACGTCGCATTCACTCGGATTTTTCTCCGTAAATCTTCCAACAGAAGCTCTGAAAACTTCTCTTTTATAAAATAAAAGATATTCTTTGGATATAACGCGAACGAAAGTTTTAAATACATAAAATAATAACGATTCTCTTTGCAATTTTAATTAGCAATTATTTAACTCATTTTCAATTGCTTTAAGTTGAAATATAAACGAATTTAATCTCTTGAAAATGTCAATAATAAAAACATTTTTTTTTTGTAATTTTCATAATTTAAATTAGAAATATCTAGTTGAATTTCAAAGAAATTTTCAATTATTCACATATATAAATAAATAATAAGATAAGAAAAACAATGATTTATTAACGCAAATTTTAAAATTGCAATATAAATCAGGAGTCAAGTAAGTAGAATTTAATTGTCATTTGCAGACTTTGATATTCGTAATAAAATTAATTATAAGTTTAAGCAAGTAGGATTTATGTGAGAGTGCCGATGATATTCCTCGGGGCTCAATCTAATCCATTATTGATGAGAGTCGATTCGTCTGTAGGTCGTAAATTTAACGAGATCAATTAAAGTCGTTCGAAATGCTGCACTAACTTCGTTTTCTCAATTCCTTTTCGGAGCGTTCACAGACAATGAGACTTATCGATTTATTACTTATTTTAATAAAACAAATATAATGAAGATATAATAAGTTTTATTTATTTAACAAATTGGTTTTAGCAATAAAAACGTTAAAATAATTACACTGAAAATGTCAACGATGAAAACATTTGCATACAATCGAATTCCCGACAATCAAATTCCTGACATTTGAAATCCCGACATGGTGGAAATTTCGACAACCATAATCCCGACATCTTTGTGGAATCTTGCAAAACTTGAGGAGTAGTTAATTATCTATTACATAAGTTTTAAAGCAGGCACACAGTTATTATAATCATGTAGATTTAAAATAGTAAAAATAGTTAACATTTAGATTCATCAAGATTTGGAAAATGTTCGGAATTTTGATACTGTCGAAATTTTGATCAAAACCGATTTTTATATAAAAAGAGTTAAATCATTTTTCGACTATATTTTATTTGTTAATCATGAAAATAGTTATAATTACATAAGAATTTGTCAACGCTTACACATATTTTTTATCTAATACAAACACAATTATATAATAAGCTGAAGTTTTGGCTGAAATATTGAACAATTGGAAATATTATTGTTAGACGTTATTTCAACGCTGAAAATAGTATAAAAATACGTAAATAGAATTAAATTAATTGGACGTTATTAATTCTATAAATATTTTATAGCATAACAATTTTTCAATATGCGCACATAATATTTATTTTAACTATTAAATTCTCTATCAATTATTTGTCTACGCTCTTTTAACTATGAAAACAGAATATATTTCCAAATAAATTAATTGGACATTATTGAGTCTATAAATATTTTGTGCATAACAATTTTTAAATGTACGCTCATAATATTTGTTTCAAATATTAAATTCTCTAACAATTATTTTATCATGTTATTTCAATGACGAATAGATATTTACAAATTAATGAATTGAATGTTAGTGATTCTACAAAATTTAATAATAATAATTTGGTTGAGTCAACATTTCTAATAAATTAACTAATTAATTAATTTTTTTGATAACATTTCAATGATGCATATATATACACCTATTCTTCGTTTCACGCGTACTTTTTTTGCACGATTTTCTCAGAAACCTATCAAGTTTACACGGTATTGGTATACTAAATGATTCTACCAAAAACAGAAGCAGCATAAAAATAAATTAAAATTTAGTTTTGAAATTTTCAAAGTAGATTGTAGTCAATCCACACTATGCGAGGTATTGCTATATTTTTTATTATTTGCGAATTCTTTCAAATATTAACTTTTAGTTTTACTTATTTAAATTCATTAAAACATATTTAAATTCATTCATGGTATTACAAAAATGTCTGGGAACGCTATTTTCCATGTTTTTTTTTTGTACAATATATTATTACCCGGACAGAAAGACCTATGGTCAATTGTTTTTTTTATAAAAAAATAGGATTATTTGAAACAAAATATATAACATTTAATATATAAATTATAAAATCAATTTAAATGAAAGTTTGATGTCTTTTTGGAAATAATTAATTAAATCATAATCAAATTTATTTACGTTAAAAGTGAATAAATCAATATAAAATTTTATGTTAATTAGAGTACTTATTGATGTTTTTTTAAAGTAATTATACTAAAAAATCATAATATTAATATAAAAATGTGTTATTTTAATGTAATAAAAAATAAAACAAATTAAAAATGAAATTTATGAAAAGTAATTAAAATTTTAAATGTAATTAAAATGAACATTTTTTATACTTTGTATTAGCTTTAATTAAAAATCATGCTTTGAAAGTTTTTTTAATTATGCTGAATAATTGAATATTCAAATATTCCTGTTTATAATTACTAATTTTTGCTTATATAACTTATAATATGTTAATATTTAAATTATTCAAAATATAAGTGTATATACTTAAATTAACGCAAATTATAGATGAAAAAAAAATATTTCAATATATTTCTTTAAAATTAACTATAAATTAATAGATTTTTTACTTAAATATTTTAACAAAATGTTAATTAAAATAAAAAGTTGGGTCAATTTTAATATAAATATTCGCTTTTTAGATTTTTTTTTATATAATAATAGATAGATAAATTTATGTAAAGTTACAATATAATTTTGTAATTATTATTTTTAAATAAATTTTAAAGATTTTTTACTTGAAGCAACGTTATTTAATATTAAGATATTTGAATCAGGACTCTCCTCAATGTTCTTATCTTCATTATAATCCATTTCATTTACAATATTTTTTAAACTTTTTCATACAAACTATTATCATAAATTAAAATCTAACAACTTTTAATTACAAAAGTTCACATTAACATAGGAATTAAAAACGTTTAGTTCTTATAAGTAGACTCATTATCAAGTTCTGAAAACAAAAACTAGCATATATTATTCCATGCTATTATTTGATCTTCATTAGCTGT